GGATGGCGATTAATACTAACCAGCGCATCCCCTATCCGTAAAGTCAAAAAAAAAAAGAGATTTGTCATGATGTCTGCAACCACTTACCTCCAGGCAGCTATGACACCGAAATGAACGAGTCTGTGCGATGCGCTGTTCTTTTATAGCCTGAGTCTCACTCGCCTGTCCTCATGCCAACATGCTCTATGTGTTTACATCAGTTTGGGGTAATATGCTAATGGGTATGCTTAGCTTAGGTTGGCTGCCGTCGCAATCTCAGTTACGACTCGCCTGATCCTACTTGTATACAACTTAAAACCAACTTACAACTAGCTTATTACTATGTTTGATCAAATAACTACTCGCTAAGCACTCAGGTACCAAAGCGCGTGATTCAATCACCGTTAGGTATGTGAGTGCTTGTGCACTGAGTTTGCATGTACTTTGTGTATAGCTTATTACTATGTTTTGTTCAAGAGTTTACTCACTAAGCACTCAGGCACCAAATCGCGTGATTCGATCACCGTTAGGTATGTGAGTGCTAGTGCCCTGTGTTTGCATGTGTTTTGTGTTTTTACATGTGTGATCGTGTCTTTGTACAATGTGTGTATGCAGTTTATGCATTCTCGTATGTTCTTACTATTTCTTTCCCTACCTACGTTCAATTTTGCTTGTTTTGTTTACCCTAACGGTGCTACACATTCTGCGCATTTTTACACATAGCGATTTTTGCTGAAGTTTGTTTTGCATGCATAGATTTCCTACCTAAGTTCTATTATGCTTGTTAAACATTTTGGGATTTTACTTGTAATTATACTTTGAGTTTTATTTAGCCTTTGCGTTCTTGAGATTCTACTAGTATTTGTACTTTGAGTTTTGTTTAACCTTCGAGTTCTTAAACCTTTTGAGATTCTACTTGTGTTCTTAACATATTGATTTCTTGCAACTAAGGTTTTCTTTTATTTGGGTTCTTGACTCCGCTCTTACCTTTTGAAATTTGGATCTGAGCTTTTTTTCTTTTAATTGAGTTCTTGACTCCGCTAGTGCATTTTGGAATTTGGATCTAAGCTTTTTGGTGCCCTGGGGTTCCTAATCTGTGCTGTGGTGTGCTTCGGTGGTATTTTATACTTTTTCTTTTACACTACCCTTGGTGTGTGTTTCTAAGGTTTTAACTTTACAAGGTATAGGTGTGTGATATTATGATTTTATCTTTATGCGGTATAGGTGTGTGATATTAAGCATTTATCTGTACAAGGTATAGGTATACTTAGTGTGTGTTTTGTGATTTTATCTTTACAAGGTATCGGTATCGGTATATTAGTGTGTGACATTATGATTCTACATAGGCATATTCGCTATGCGTTTTGTACCATACATTTGATGCTGGTGGGGGGCTGCTCATCTTCTAATGAATCCCCGACGGACGTGCACGGACAGATCGGACTGGCGGGTTGCCTGCTGGAGATAAATGTCTGGGGCGGACTTGTATTTCGTAAGGAAGCAAAAACGCTTCCTTACAATATCAACGAAATATTTCAGATTTTTCTTGTTGGTGGTTGCGATGCCGCATTCTTTGGGAAACAAAATAGAATGTGCAAAGTATATGATATTTCTAAAAACAAACTGGTCCCTATCGCAAATATGAATGAGGCGAGACATTTTAATTCTGCAATCTCAATAAACGGTGCCGTTTATTCGGTGGGCGGATATGAGAGTAACCGAACTGCAGAATGTTATAATCCAGTTACAAAGAGGTGGAATTACATTGCGTCAATGAATTATGGTCGTCATTGTTGTGGGATTTGTACGCACAACGATTTGATATATGTTGTTGCTGGATTGATCGCTTCAAGTGTTGAAAACTATAATCCGGCAACTGACAAGTGGCACTTATGTGCAAATATACCCGCAGGAGGCTCTTCTGGGTACACTCGTTCAGCAGTGGTAGAAAATAACATTTACAGCGTAGTTGATATGCAGTCCGATGGCTTTAATCTATGTTTTCGCCTTGACCCTAGAGAAGGGCGGTGGGATGATGTGAAAGAAATGGTAGGAGGAAGCAATGATTTTGGACTGGTATCTTATGGTCATTCATTGTTCTATATTGGACATGGTTGCTGCAAACGTCTCGACGTGCGTATGAATAAATGGGAGTCGATTCCTTCCCCGCAGTTGGGAAGATATGGTTTTTCGGCGGTGATAGCTGCTGATGACATTTATGTGTTGGGCGGCGAGACATTCTATCGGGCAAGGCAATATGTTACGAGTGTAGACCGCTTTAACATCCGTAAAAATGCGTGGACTGCAATCGAATCAATGGCAATTAAACATATTGCCGGAGGGGCTGCAGTAGTCAGCGGTTGTTTTGATTAAATGTTAAAAGTTATTCGCGATTCCTATTAATTAACGAATGTTTCTTCACTCTTTTAAATATTTCACATATGTTTTAGATCTTAATCTCCCGAGAATGACCTAAAATATTATTATTTTAAGACATATTCGGATTTGCAAGCAATAAATTGATTTGCATCAGTAAAATGTTTGTTTTTATTCTTAAGAGCGAATAAGTGGAGAAGAGCTATTCCGTCGTAGATTCCCATTGAAGACCGTTTAAGAAATTTGTGGGTAAAATAGATGACAACGGAGCATGTGTGCTTGACTAACACATTAGTTAAAAATAAAATAGTTACTCCCTATCAAAGTCAGTCCTTTCCGTATTTGCCTAACGGAAGAGCACGGTGAAGTATCATACGCTCCACTTATTATCGGTCCGATTACCTCGGCCGTGTGTGCAGGAATTTTGAAAAATTTGTTTTGTGCGGCTAGGGTCATTCTGTCCCCTATGTGTAAATGACGAAATGCTATCTAACGACACTTTTCCACGCAATAGTCCAAATAAGAAATGGAGATGTTTGTGAGTTTTCTGGGTATGTGAACGTCTTTACTAAATTCTAGGACGTCTGGAACGACTGTTCAGACTTTTATTAGTGGTTAACGTCCACCAAATTGCAGTGAATCATCAGTAAACCACAAAACAAAAATTGGAGTTAACCGAGTAAGATAGGATAGTACGACAAACTGGTTCTCAAGTCCGTGCGATTGTAGATATGGATACAATTTCACACAAATCTTTAACCAGCTAATATCTGCCTACAGGTAAACGGGAGGAATCACGCATTCCAGAATATCTTTGAAGTAATACAAAATAATAATGTGAACAGACCAATGGTGCAAATGTGAGAACAGTCTTTCCTGCTCAGTCGGTGATGTGTTAAAATCGACTTAAACTCTTCGAATTGTACAAGCTAGCTTTTTCACTTTCCAGAGGAACCCCCCAAAAAGTTACGAAACTAAAGATCGTTAGTTAAGTCTATCAAGAAAGCAAAAAAATATAAAAAGACGGGAATCAAAGTTTTTATGACGTCGAACTGGATGTCTACTGCATAATTGGAGAAGTAAAGACTATCTAAACCGAGCGTATGTTCGAAGTTATTATGTAATCCAAACAGTATTCAGTCTTCAGGATTCATACTTTTTTCATTCCTTCAACTCTCACTTATGTATGTTGACATTTGTGAATAGCTAGCATGGTGTACCAATACCTTTGGGCTTAATACTTTTTAGAAGGCCGCTACACGTAGCTTGTTTATTAATCTCTTTCCAAGAATAATGAAAGCAGCGATCGGTATAATGGAACAAATTTTTAATTTCATAATCAGGTGTTAACCTCTAAATAATAATTAAGCCATACTTTTAAGTGCAAATCGTGGCCATATAGTTGTAGTAATTTGTAAGAGCAGAGTTTTACTTGGCATCCTGTACATATGTATTAAGAGCGGCCAACAAATTTCTTTAATTAAATGTTTGATAACAGAGCACGAACACTTGAGTGAACCAAGCATTGAAATGGTGAGCTGTCCCTGAAAAATTGTTAATAATTGTGCCTCAACCAAATGAACTTGCACTCGCATGGCAGATATTGATCTAAAATCGATCTTCAGCAGAGCCTCTAAAATAAGGTCTCTGATGTGGGATGATGGATACCACCCTTGAACATAGTTCCAGCAAGTATGGACTAATTTTTGATACATATCCTTGCACATCACTCATAAGGGAATTTATTCACGCGTTGTGTCTCGCACACCTACGAATCCATGAACATGTCGAAAGCATTATTTTGAAGAACGAATAATTGTTCTATTGCACCAGATGTACTCTTAAGACAATTTCCAGACATTTGATTACAATTGTTGTAAACGTTGTGAAGAATACTTTCACTTGGCCTCTAACACAGCATATCGGATGGAGATTAAATTTCGATGCAATCTCAATTCTACGGATCGACTACGGATCGTATCTCCTTTTAAACAGTCTCTCTCAGAAAATCGAATTAATTTCGCAGTTATGTAAGCTTATGACGGACGCCATTAATCCATTCTGCAACTATTTACGAGCGAGGACCTAAAGTATGCACGAGAAGTTCATGACTTAAAGGTTTTGTTTGTAAAAGTTTTGAGGTTTAATTATTAAACATTTTTTTCCTGGTTCAAAGTGTGCCGCGGACCAGTTGCATTTTTTGGGGTTCTTTCGAATCTTTTATATCTTTCAAGAGCCTTTGTTGTCGACATGTTCGCGTTCGGACGTAGACCAGCGCATATGCCTGGAAAGCAGCGTACGATCGTTAAAGGTTATTATACCATAAATAACAAAAAATATTTTACAATTTTTCTCTTGTACCTCAGCTCGGCTGAAATCGGCCAAAAAGTCTCAATCTGCTTACACTAATTTCGGGGGTCTTTGGAAATCTTATCTGCTTTTCCTTTAAATAATTTCCTAGTAATTTTATCACCATATGAAAATAGATTATACTTATAGCGTTACTTTGTCGGGCGAGATGTCCGTTTTTGTCCTTGATGATTCTCCTGATTAAGAGAGTTAATGATTCGAAAGCTTGTTCGACCCTCTAGAAGCTGTTAGTTGATAACACCAAATCAATGTAGAAGCAATTACAAAGTATTTACCCTACTTAGGCTTTGAATAATGTTCACAATCTAACTCTCCTTTAGGTTCAATTGTCGACGTGGTACTTAGAAGATGAATATTACGCCCCTAAGTACAAGAGAAGAATTGTAGTCTCTTTCAAGGTGGATTTCGGCAACTTCTACATTTCTGATTGCAATAAAATTAATAATGCCGTCATACCTTTGTAGCGATTCGAGCCGAATCATGTGCCGGTGTCCAACCGGTACCTACCATCTAAAGGCTAGTGCTTTAAGACTTTAGTCTTACAATTTATTTCTCTGGCTAATTTAATTGTAATAATATATTAAGATTAAATATTATTTGAAGATCAAATTGCCAGTATCTCTGTCCGAGCATTTTCCCTCGCGCCCATTTTCCATATCAGATAGTCCAGCTCAACAAATCGAATTGATTTTGTACATATATAAAAATATAATGAGTACTAATAAGAAAACCTTCTCATATTCAATTAGTTTTGTCTTTGCTTTCATCAAGGTGCATCATCTACTTGACGTTGGGACCGTGCAAAAGTGAATATCAAGGCTTGAGAAAAAATTAACTTCTCATATTTCTGATGCAACTTCAACCAAAACGCTTCGTTTGATGAAATAAGGTTGAGATGACTAGGATCTACCCGTAGTAGCGGCCACGAACAATATATATGCTATAGATCGCTATGCTCTAGAAAATAAATTATGATCAATATGTTATACAATCGGTAATGCCATAAAAATTGTCCGTGAGTTCATCAAAGAATAGACATAATCTTCATCGAAATTAAAGGAAGCGGAATTGAATGCTTTTATCATCAATTTATCGCTCCGTGACTGAATATTTAGACTTTCAAACGAACTGTTGAGGCTTTATTCCAACGTTTCAGGCAGGACATATCAGCTCATCCACGTTACAACTGATGCTCCTATCAAAAATCACATTTTGATTACCAATCACTAGCGTATTCGCATGAGCATGCGCGCCATAGTATTTATGACCCAAGCGCAGAAAAATATACATCGATGTAAAGGCCATGCAAAACGCTTGCTCAGACATTCTTAGGCAAATCTTTGCATTTCTATTTTATTTACATAGGTATATTTATGTAGATATAAGTAGAGTTCGAGAACTACTGTACTGAACTTGTGTATTCTACGATAACCGGTCCTAAAAAAATTCAGTACATTGATTAAAAAGCTTTCTAATAAATGGCAGTTAAACGCTTTGTAAAATATTTGACAAACTGTCACAACTAGTCAGTCATAAAGAAATTAATTTTCTTATCCAGTCTCGAAATGATTTCGGTAAACTCGCGTCAAACACACATGCGAATATTCGCTCAACGATCTAAAAGAGCAACCAGTTATTATAGTAAACACACTGGTGCCTTATAGCGAAAACGTAACTACAAAATTGGTTCAACGCGCGAGTGTAGAAGAAATTAGTACTGAGTACCCATACAGAACCGGTAAGTTAAGTTTAATGCCCATAAGTAGAACATTACATTATACCCTACACCACCTGTTGTAACAGATCAAGAAGGACTTGCAGCTTTTATTGTATAGTGTGCGATCCAGAATCGCGTACTGAATCGTTTTAAGTGTGTCTGTCCACCAGTGCGCCTTGTTTTTCCGTGTTAAATCGAATCGTTTGAGATATTTTGATGAGATTTGGTACAATAAGATGGCCCAAGGATGAACGCTATTGAAAATGGTTCGGATCGGATCTATTTCTCATCCCACTTTGCATATATATCGCGCTATTTTAAACAGTCGTTATATGAACAACTGTAGGGTTATTTAGGGTATGTAATGGTGGCCCAGTGCCGCCTGTACTTTTCATCCTTATTCAATAATAATTAAAAGATTGCGCATCAAAGACTGGTTAGCCATACATCCTATATAGCAGTGGTGGTTTTTACGTACAAATTGTCTAAAAAAATTTCCGTACATGCCCCTTTTGGCATGCCTACCTTGGGTTAGCCACCATTGTTATACAGCATAGGTAATATGTACTTCATTCATGTAACTTTAGATATGGAAAAATTCAGAGCCAAGTTGTTTTATGCTCAAGATTGTCGTTTTTAGAAATACCTCTGTTAGTGTATGATAGAGGTTAGATATCAACAAGTGATATATTAAGCGGCACCATCCCAACAAAATTTTCTTGGACGCAGGCGATCGGATTACTTGGGAAAAACTTCAATATTTCAAAGCAAAAATTTCTTTCAGCTAATGATTTTCTTTGCAAATACCAAAAAAAATTCATAGGGTCGATTAAGCCATAACAAGTTTTGTTTGCAAAAATTTACGGTAATAGCCTCCTCTGATACTGATATTCTATCAAAACTTTATTTTGGACATTTGCCATAGCATTCGCTATTAAGTACCGAAATGCGGGTTTCTTCAAAATCAGAACGTCATCGATATAAAGGTTTTGGATATTTGAAAAACGCAGTTCCAACATTTACCCTTTTTTTTTGGAGCCAAATTTTATAATATAATGAAAGTGCATCTTTTCCGTACTGCACTCCCAGTATTAAACTTGAATATAAATAAATATAGATTCATTTTGAGTTGTGAGTGTTTACAAAAGTCTCACATAATGATACGACGAAAAGAGAGATCAGTCAAAGAAAGAACTTACCCACTTTCTGCGCATAACTAATTTCAAATAAATGGAAATGTAATTTTTACATTCAGACTTGATTTACATATCATGCTATCCGCCTGCGTGGTCGCGTAGGCAAGAGTCTCGACTAGCGACTCAATGATCCTGGGTTCAAATCCCAGTAGAGTTTTTAATAAAGCCGAAAGCCTTAGATGCTAGTGCTTTAAGTGCTCTAGTCTTAGAATTTATTCTCTGGCTAAATTATTAATAATAATAATAACAAATATCATGCTTCTGCAAAAGTAAAAGGTAAATGTACCTCTTCAGATCGGTATTCGGATATGCAATTCTGCATTAACTTTCATTCCGAGATGAATAATAGGTTTTCATTTACTGTAGGAATTCGTAAACAGTCTGATATTTCGATGAAACTTTTCTTTAGTTGTTGTGATATAATAAGTAAATATTCTCGCTCTTCTTTTATATAAATATGGAATATTTACGAGTAATTTTACTATTGTAAGGTGTACTTGACATTGCCTCTTAAGCAGATCTCAAATAAAAGCCGATTTTGCAATTCGTCAAACTGCCTCTATAAACATCTCTGTCTCTTAAAGTCTTCTTCAAAAGGAATACAAAATGTTTTAAATCGTGTCGTGTGCCGTTTGTAATCTTTTCCGCGATTCTTCAATTAATAAAAAAAGAAAGTTAAAGTAAGTAGAGCTTAATCAGCTAATCAAGGGCTTTGTGTACTTTTGCAAATATTGCTTTAAACTTTGGTTCATACATTAATCAGAGATTCATTCATTTTTCGGTTATTATTCGAAGAAGAGGAAAAAATAACAATAAACTCCAACTGCGGTCGTAGAACAGAATACAAATTTTTGGTGCTATTAGTTGAAGATGTGAATGATAAATTGTACAATCGTCGCTTATAAGTGTTTTTTCTTCTTTTGCAATCAGTAACGAACTTTTATATAAGAATTCCTTACTACGACTACGTGTTTATTTACTTACACCTTTCTTTCAAAAGCTGTTTGTGGTAGGATTAGCATAAGCCGTCTGCGAGATATTGAAACATTGTTCGAAGAACTCTCATGAACATTACCCGGAAATGAATAAAGACAACAACAATTTTGCTGCACACTGATTGTGCCGGGCTCTCTTGCTTTCCGCCTCTTTAGATGGAAAATTTCAAAGAGAGATAATTCGCGAAATTACATATGAATGCGTGAGTATGTGAGTTGTGAGTATACGAGTCAAGCTTTTTCCATTCTTGCTTTCGATTACAAACAAGGAGTCAATGTGTTTGCATACACTCTCAATGCTTTACACATACGAGTGCGGTTATATGATCGCACAGCATGTTTACATACTCGCTCGTGTTTCACTGGCATTTGATATCGTCTGTCGTGCGACGTCGTACGAAGAAAGTTAAGGCTGAGAGCGCTAAAACTATCTTGCATCTTGCTTCCGTCCTTAGAGAAAACCCTTAAATGTTTTTTATCGTTAAATTCGCTGCAATGTAAAATGCACTTTATGTACACGTTTCCCTTTTTGAAGCAGCGACGCTTTTTATGGTATGTATTGATAAGTGAGTTCTTTCTAATTTTATCTTGTTTCGAATGCACTTGCTTATGAATTCGATATGCACAGCCATTGACATAAAAATATACCGCATGTCTACACGACAGTATAATAAAAATTTCTTAACTATATAATCAAAACATTTTATTATTGGTTGAAAACATTGCTTAACATAGACTCATAAAGAAAATTCCGTGTTACCATTTTTCTCTCTTTTTCGAATTATATGTAGTTTGTCGCAAATATGGAACAACAAAATACATTCTTATTGTCGGTGTAACACACTACAGTTTTGGTTGTTTTTTGCACTTAATTGGATAAAACAGAGGAGTGCTGTACATGCCTGAGAAAGTCGAAATTACAGGTAGTTTAGATCAGCCAGGAGTAAGTCCGACTGAAGCAAGTACTGCAGTTGTTGGCGATCTATGATCGAGTGATCCATTTGATAATTTCAGGTGATCCACTTTAGTTCCGAGCATAAAGTATCATATATAAAAATAAATTATAATATAACATAACATAACGTGAAACAAGGATTTGAAATTTATACTAAGCAAGAACAGAGACAGGTTAGGTAATGAATATTCAGATGCTTGTATTCGTCTTAAAAAGAGTCTTGAAGAGAGTTCATTCAACTATGTTTGTAATTATTTTCTTAGTAAAATATATTATTTACTAGAAGGCCGTTTTGGTATGAAAATACTTTGAATCAACTGTCTCTTCAACGCTCACATTTTGGTTGACTTCCACCTGTGGCCAAAACAGGTTGTCAACCCCTGCACTACTTATATTGAAAAACCAAGAAAAATCAAGCGAAATCTATTTAAGCCATCTGAAGAAATTACGATCGAAGTGAAGTAGGAAATTGTCTGAGCGTATGGAAGGCGCTCCTAACTGATGCGCAAATTTTTGATAGTCAAGAAGGAAGAAAGACTTTCTTTCGAAAGTGCGTATTTCAATTTTTTTATAAATCCCTTTTTATTTATTTTCATGATGCAGTGCTGATGAAGCTATTTATCTGTTCCTGGCTGTATATGATTGAAAAGAAAAATTCTGCTAATAACACCGTAGTATGTCGCTTTTAAAATAACTTGTATTAGAAGAATTCAATTCATTCATTATACAACTTTTTATCGGATAATAGTCAACGGCGTTCCAGAATATTTTACAAACCTTGAATTAAGCAATTAATCCAGTGACAAATAAATTAATTTGTTTATCTAATATCGAAAGTGAATTTAAATAACTGCCTCTCGCCATTACTATTTGCGAATATTCACTACACGAAAATAAAAGTGCAAATAAACCATCACATCGAGAACGTAAGTAGAGAAATTTCGCAATATTCACCCAGAAAGGTTTGTTAACAATAAATATTGATATGCGATCAGTTAGATTTTTTTACTTTTCTTTGAATCTATACAGATTCACAATTTTCATTCGAATCGAGTGCATCTAAGGGGCACGAAATAACAAGAAAAGATTTCGAGTCGAGCTATCGCATGCTTCTCAAACTTGGAGCCTTTTCTTCATCTTATTCTGTTTATTGTTTTAATATTCAATACGTTAAGCAGTCAAATACTTTAATGTGACGAATCAATGGGATCGAAGTTAATAATTGGTGCCATTAAAAAGATCTAAATATACATTTGAAGCTTTGTTATCTTTCAAATGTATACTAGCGTATGAAGAAAACAAAGCCAATCCAATGCACAGATAAACTATATCGGGAATACATATGGATTGTGGTAATGTAATATAACAGTAGTGGCGAACTAATTACAGTTGTCGCCTTCGTTTATTGTTTCTTAACTTATGACTCAAAGCATTTACTCATATTTGTGTGATAACGATTTTATTTTATTCGATTGGATTTCTTCAGTTGAAACATCAAAAATCATCTGAAAATGATTTTTTATTTTTACAAATAAAATTCAATTATGATATTATACTAAAGGCTTCTTCGATATCGCAAAAGTTTCACCTGCTCGCCATATAAAAGGGTATTTTCATGATAAAGGCATAGGCATAGAATGTGTAGGGTATGTAGGCCTACTTTAAGCAAATTTTGATGTCGATTTACTATTTTGTATCAATGTTGATTACAAAGTACCCACAATTAGAACCTGTTGCCAAATATCTCTTTATTATCTACAATAATGGGTGGACTGCAGTCGATTCAATAAATATTGAGCGCTTTTGCTGAGGAGCTATATAGTCGTCCTAAAATTCATTTCTTTGTACTAAATATAATAAAAAATAATAATAATAATAACATATATGTAAAACATTTGAAAGAGTAAAGCAACGCATTAGTTAAATAATACGAAGTTTTCCCAACTTTTACTTTCCACAAATTCCTTAGACACTGACTTAGATGCTTATGCGTTGATTACTGCAGCTCTTCCGCAAAAGTGTTCTATGTCGATTAAATTGCCTGTAGTGCGCTTAGTCAATCTGTTGAAGAGAAATTATAATATAAACATTTGAAGCAACCGCTATGGTCCGCAATACGAGTGTTCTTGACCAAAGGTCTTAAAGGTTAAGATACCAATTTTTCTTGAGTAAAATTTTAATTTTTTTGTTATAATTGAAAATTAAAAAAATCAAAACTTTAAATTTTTTAAAATGCAAATAAAATGTACACACATTTTCACGCAGATATTACACTTTTTATTTACTGTGTCTTTGTCATGCGAAGTGTGCAGGCCGTGCTGCAGATGCGTCCTAGATCCTTCGAAAGGTTTATCTGGGCCATGTCCCAACTGTAGAAAGCGGGGTACTGACTTTTATAAGTTTTCGCAGAGACAAGGAATTGGTTTTCTGAATTAAGTAAAAATCTCGTGACTTGTGCCGTGTGTGGGAAGTTTCAAAAAATCATCGATGAGTGTTGCTATCTAGAGCACTAATCTTCTCATCCAGCCTGTACAAGATCAACTCGCAGTGCAGCGTTGTACTTTACCTCCATCTTCGCCTTGCATACCAAAAACGTTGGCGGCTAATAAAAGAGTTCCAAACGAGTTTGGAAGCAGGCTATTCTGTCTAAATCACCAACGATATTAACAAAAATAACAAATCTGCCTCTCTCCACTTAGAATTAAATGGTTTTTGTTGACCACGAAAAAAAACTAATCTTCCTTCATATGAATTTAACTCAACTACGTCTGCTACGTCGATAGCTACACCTAAACGAAGCTGGAATATGTCAAAATCGTTCTCAAATACTTCCTTAGTAAAGAAATTATTTTTGATCCTTCTGATATTTATGCCCCATAGTTACAATGTTACAAAATTCGTTCGCTCTAACGAGTAGGTAACATAGCAAACTGACGTACAGGATTTCGAAACGAGCATAACTCAATTGAGATTTCCGTAAGTAACCTACGCAAAATCTGTTGCCTCCGAGTTTCTTCGCCAGACAGTGTTGTCATACCGGAATGCAAACATGCTGTTAATCTGAAATTCCTCATCTTCGTCGTTGTCTCATAGTATTGAAATGTTCTTGAGAGCTGTGCACAATAGAAAACGAAAAAAATGATGACGCAGATGAGGCGAACTCGAACAACGATCGACGAAAAAGTACCTGAATGTAATTACATTTCAAAGCATTAAATTTCAGTCCTTATCATGGTTCTGCCAAGTTTTAAATCAATAGCCCCATTTTTGCAGTCAATGGAATTGCACAGGCGCAGGCTTCAGGATTTGATGCTTATCAAGATTATATACACTTTCGTGAGGTTTCTGTACTTTTCTTTGGGACAATACAAACGTTCTTCTAAATGAATATATCCCCCATCCTTCGTTGATGGATATGTAAAAAGTCCTTGTCGATATAAGAGAACCTACAGACAATCTTGCAAAAGTAAAACTCGTCTATAAAATATTTCCAATCGATTTTGACAGGAAAGAAGTAAAAAATGCCAGGCTTAACACAAAGAAGGATGCAAGAAATCTTTACGTTTTGGAACTAGTCGTAGAAGTACCCAGAAGCAAATTGTTTTTAGAGAATCAACTCAGGGAAGTTCAAACAAAACGGCGAAATGCATTTCTTTGTTTTTTTGCTTTGTTTAAGAGTATTCTACAAAGTTGTCTGCTATCGTAGACCGAAAAACAAATTTGTATGTCTTTATGAAAATTGGTGACGGTCTTTAAACGTGCCTAAAGATATTACTCAGTGAAGGGACAATTCTTTGTTCCTCTATTATATTAAGAATCGAAGTTGTAGACTAGCATGCCGTTTGCCAATTTAATGGCTTATCATACAACATAAATCTCATTTACAAATATCTAGCTAAAGGTTTTATTCATGAAGTAGCTCCCAAAGAGTCTTTAGCCGACTATAATTTTCTGGCGAGAGAATAAAAGTCCAACAATTTTAGGTATCACTTACGAAACATCACGACATAGGGAGCATAGTAAAATTGTTCAGTTTTCATTTAATATTCAACGTGAAAGATTTACATCAACTTCGCAAGTTGGACCAAAAGCAGAAAAACATTCATTCGGATATAAAAGTATTTCCGACAGGGCAACATAAATATTTCTTATTAATACAAAGTCCCTTAATTGCCGCCCATTAGCTCCGGCTTTTAAATATTGAAATAATAACGTCTATTGAAGCCTATGTACAAGTTACACACAATTTTTTATTTCAGTTCCAAGGTATTTCCATTTTTACATTCCCTTCGTATATTTAACCAGCAGGATGGCTGCTAAAACGATTAATAAAGTTGAGATCATCGCTGAGGGAAATTGCAAAAACTCGGCTTATGGGAGCAGTTTTCTCGATGGCTTAAATAAAATGCGTGTCGAACAAAAGGTAAGCGGGATGTTATAGAAACATTGCCTGTTCGAGTCAACACATCATTATTCCATTTTACAGTACTGCGATTTCACATTGGAAGTAGACGGCGATATTGTGAAGGTACATAAGGTAGCTGTTGCCATTGGTTCGCCTTATTTTGCAAGGATGCTTGAGAGTAAGTAATTGCAGACATAACCCCACGCTTGAACACACTTAAAGCGTCTAAATGTTTCAAAGTTTTACAGATGATATGGAGGAAAACAGAGCAGGAACGGTTAAGTTGGAGGCGACAGACTTGCGTACTATAAAAGCGCTTATTGAATACGTGTACACCGGTATCATCACACTGACTGAAGATAACGTTGAAGCATTGCTCTCTGCATCGGATCGGTTCCAGATTGAATGGGTGAAGCTGGAGTGTGAGGAATATGTGAAACGTAATCTGAACCCAGCAAACTGCTTGCGGATCCTAAAATTGTGTGGTAAGAATATGCAAGAATTCGTGCGGAAGTACTCAGGTTCTAAGTATTTACTGTCTTACAGATACACCTACTTTTACGTCACTCTACGATTCCGTTCACAATTACATCGTTGATCACTTTGATGATTTAATTGAAGTGGAAGATTTACTGCTGCTGTCATTTGATGAGGTATTTAAATAATTGCATAATGAAGTCTCTTGTCTGCAGGAATGCTATTACAGTTTTAGTCTCGCAATACAAGCCGCTCATTTAATTTTCCTCAGCAAAGTAGAGCTTTCTTAAATTGACTTTCTTTCCTACCAGCTAACGTAAGGACATTTGTCCTAATGATAATATTTGATTAGATGGGAAGAGAAAGATGTCAGCATTGCTAGAGTATGACTAGATTGAGTAAACATTCGGATAATTCGGATAATTAATTATCTAACAAAGGGGCGAAGGCGGACCAACGGCATGGAAGAATAAGACCTTATATTATACTTTACCGTAGACATGACGCGCACACTCGCTAAGAGCGCTGAATATTTTCTAAAAGTGCGTAAAGCTTTGTTCGATTTGCAAAGATCAAGGGTCTTATTTGGGTCAGTTATCAAGACAGCTGAGTAAAATAATATCCACAGCAGGACATTGATCTGAGAAATGAGACTTTGGTGTTTTCCATGGTTTGCGTACGTAACACTAGAAATCTATTAAGCGCGCTTTTCAAGAGTGGCGCATGAACACCACTACTTATACATTTTTGGAAGCCCAAATTAATGTCCATTACACTATTGATTTGCAGATCGATTTTCGTTTGAACAAAGTAGAAAAATATTTTCATTTCTGAAGGATCTAATCATTTAATCATACTTCAAAAATAACTTAAGCTAACTAATTCCGCACACTTTGTACGTAACTTTTATATAATTCTCTTTAATTCTACATTAATTTTACTTCAACGTTTTTTCTAGATCGAGAAAGTAATAAAAGACAACCAACTTAATGTAAAATCGGAGGACAATGTTTATAAAGCTATGTTAAACTGGGTTAAACACGATGCAAATAATCGAAAAGTTCATCTGGCGGAGTTAATGAGCCATATTACTTTACCTCTACTTAGCACTCAGTTCTTAAAAAGCCAAGTTTCTGCTGAACCTATGCTTACAAAAGACCCAAGATGTAATGAACTGTTAGTGGAAGCTCTGTTTTATAAGTTGACGTCAATAGAGGAAGGAAAACCTTTGCCAGACAGTTCGAGGACCCGAAAAAGGACCGAACATATCAACGAAATGTTTCATGTATTCCTTGTGGGTGGTTACGATGACACCTCTGGGGCAGGACATAGAATGTGCAAAGTATATGATATTTCTAAAAACAAACTGGTCCCTATCGCATATATGAATGAGGCGAGATATTATAATCCTACAATCTCATTAAACGGTGCCGTTTATTCGGTGGGCGGATATGAGAGTAAGCGAACTGCAGAATGTTACGATCCAGTTACTAAGAGGTGGAATTACATTGCGTCAATGAATTATGGTCGTCGGAATTGTGGGATTTGTACGCACAATGATTTGATATATGTTGTTGCTGGATTGAGCGCTTCAAGTGTTGAAAACTATAATGCGGCAACTGACCTGTGGCACTTGTGTGCAAATATACCCGCAGGAGGCTCTTCTGGGTACACTCGTTCAGCAGTGGTAGAAAATAACATTTACAGCGTAGTTGATATGCAGTCCGATGACATTAAGCTATGTTTTCGCCTTGACCCTAGGGAAGGTCGGTGGGATGATGTAAAAGAAATGGTAGAAGAAAGCTGTAATTTTGACCTGGTGTCTTATGGCCATTCATTGTTCTTTATTGCAAACGATTGCTGCAAGCGTCTCGACGTGCGTATGAATAAATGGCACTCGATGCCTTCCCCGCAGTTGGGAAGATATGGTTTTTCGGCGGTGATAGCTGCTGATGAAATTTATATGTTCGGCGGTAGGACATCCGTTTTGGCAAGACAATGGATTACGAGTGTAGAACGCTTTAATATTCGTACTAATGTGTGGACTACAATCGAATCAATGGAAATTAAACACGCTATGGGAGGGGCAGCAGTAGTCAGCGGTTGTTTTGATTTTGATGAAATGTTAAAAGTTATTCACGATTCCTATTAATTAACGAATGTTTCTTTACTGCTTTAGATATTTCACACATGTTTTAGATCTTATCTCTGCCGTAAAATATTTTACGGGACGTTTGGCTTTGCGAGCAATAAATTGATTTGAATCAGTAATCAGTTTGTTTTTAGTCTTAAGAGCAAATAGGTGGGGAAGAGATATTCAGATATGCAGATTCCCATTAAAGATCGTTTAAGAAATTTTTGTTTAAAATAGATGACAACGGAACATGTGTGCTTGAGTAACACAATAGCTAAAAATTAAATAATTACTTCCCATCAAAGTGGTCTCCTTTCTGTGTTTAGTTAACGGCAGAACACGATGATATATCTTAGGTTGCACTCATTATCGCTCCGATTACCTCGGCCGAGTCTTCTCATCTAATAATTACTTGACATCTTCGTGGATATGAAATTAGTTATGTTTACAGAAATTTTGAAAAATTGCTTTGTGCGGCTAAAGTCAATCTGTCCCCTATGGGCAAATGGCGAATTACTGTCTAATGAGACTATACCACGTAATACTTCCGCCCTGGTCGATATAAGAAATAGGGGTGTTTCTGAATTTTCTGAGTATATTTAAATTTTACTAAATTCTATGACGTCTAGAACGACTATTTAGTGTTAACGCCCACAAAATTGTAGCAAATCATAAGTAAACTGCAAAACAAAAATTGTAGAAAGCAAGTGAACATAGGAGAATACAACAAATTGGTTTTCAAGCCCGTGCGATTGTAGATATGAATACGATTTCACACCAATCTTTAACTAACTTATTTCTACCTACAGGTAAACGGAATGGACTATGCATTCCGAAAGATTTTTGAAGGAATACAAAAGATCAGTACGAACAAACTAGCGATGCAAATGTGCAGCGAGTGAGAACAAACCTTCTTGCTTAGTCGATGATGTGTTAAAATCGACTTAAACTCGTCGAATTCTACAGAAGAACTAACTTCTTTACATTCCAGGGGGAGGGTATATTTGAGAAGAAATCGCTGAGTAAAACCCTTTTACATAGAGAGCTCTTATACACTAATGTGGGCTGGTGGATATGGAAGATCCAATTAATACTTGAGAGAAGTAAGAGCAAGTATCGACTAGAGTTTTATTGGTATCATGGATTTCAGAAAGAGAGACCAACATTCTTCCTTAATGAGAGTATTTGATAGCGATACAGGATTGCTTGAGTGAAGCAAACATCGAAACTGCAAGTTATCCCCGAGAAATTATAGATAATTGTTCCGTAGCAAACCACGCTTAGTAAGGAAGGGAGTTTTCAATTTGTAGTAGATATCGATCTAAAACGAATACTTAATTAAGCTTCGAAAAGGAAATCGCTGAGTAAGACGTTTGCACATCGAATCCTTATACATTTGAGACGGAGGATATGTAAACCGATCCAAAGGACATACAATTCTCTTCATTTCTAATATAATAAGTACAATTTGATAAATGCAACTTTTTTAAAATCAAATGAAAGAAGTAATCAAGGGAACGCACAACAAGAACGTTTTAGTCGGGCAAGGTTGACCGTTAAATACCCTACCCTACCCATATTGTTTCTTATCTTTATTATAAAGCACAAAAATTATATCTTATTCCTATATAAAGGCGTATTTCTCAAGAGCGTAGTTATGTGGAAGGGCAACTTAATGTGGTACAAGTTTAATCCTTACGTACGGGTGAATCCATGGTCAAAATGGTCAAAATTTTGTAGAAACCTTTTTTGTATAAAATTACTTTTATAGGTCAACTTTAATCACCACATACTAAAACTTAGACTTTTCTGCTCTATAAAGGATCGATTCTCGTGAAAATCTTTATTAGGGTCAAATCCAAAAAATTGGTCGAGATGCTCCAAATTTGGTACAGTTAATTTTCTTATGTTAAATTAATATTATGGTATAATTTTCATCATGAAGCATTGAAAAGTATACCTCCTTAGCGTATGAATTTCAATTTTCGTTATATGAGAGGAGCTTTAAAAATTGCCCCTCTCTGTACAAAGTTTTCATACGAATTTCGAAGGGAGAGGTACTAGTAACTCACTTTTGCGAAGAAATTTTGAAAATTGCAAATCTTTTCCGTATAACGACTTTTGAGAATGGGGCGTTATATGGAGAGTGGTTGAAAAAGTGTACCCATCCGAACCATTTCCAATAGCGCTTGTCCGTGTGTCAACACAGGTCACCGCCAAACTCATCAAAGTATCTCAAAAATTGTAACCCGTAATTTGAACAAAACTGTGCATGGACAAACATCTGACAGACAGACGGATAGGCAGGTTTAGATCAATTCAGATAATAATTTTGAATCGATCGGTGTGATAAAAAGGGGTCTATCTGAAGTCCTTCTGCGCCTTACATATATCCGCACTAACTTAATATATCCACAAGTATCTAACAAGTACGTAAGGCACACATGGTTCCAATTTCTTTTAAAACAAATGAAAGAAGAAATCAAGAGGACAAATGCGAACGAAAGCATGCCTACAGTATACAGGACCTAGTGAGAGTATCGCGCACAGATTTGCTTATACTCTTCGTATTGCGAAAAGTTAGTACGAACTTTGTCCCCCATGTTCTCCCTCATTTCTAATACAAAAACTAACAGTAATAAAAAGAGATTACGGTCTTCGGAAACAGAAAGAAGAGGAATCGATTCACTTATACAAAGTACAACGACTGTAGCTCAAAAGTTCTCGTTAATTTTTGATCAAATCAGGGGAATCACAATTTATTCGCTTTGGACTAACCAGCACAACGAAATGGATCGATATCTGATAGTATCGAATTAATCTTTGTTCGTCTGTTTATCGTTTAATACATAGCACTGCACATAAACTATGATGGATTATGTCTTTGACGTATGTCTTATGAATCCAGAAGAGTTTCGATAGCCTTGATTTAAAAAGAAAATATTGTTTTATTACATCACCACACAAACCCTTAAGAGAATTTGCGGACATTTAATTACAATCGGTTTAAAAGTTTGAAAGAACACTTGCAGTAGGCTTCTACTAGGGTACTTCAGATGGGGACTAAATTTCACTGTCAACTCTACTGATCGGCTTATGTGTCTCCTTGTAAACAGCTTCACTCAGCAAATGAAATTAAGTTGTAAGCGGATAATGAATAAAAATAATTTATTCCCGCGCGATGGGATATATGTCCATTTCTCAAAGACCTCTCTGACAAATTTTCAGACTTTATTGTTTACTATTTATTTCTACTCACCCCATGCGTTGAAAGTGTGACTGAACGACGTAAATCAATTACCATTTCTCTGCCCAACTCGAATCTTTTATATCACTCATAAACTCGTGTTTTAGATTTGTATGAATACAGATGTAGCTCAGAGAATAGGAATACCATGCTGTGGTTAAAATTTATCAGACATAAATAACAAGAAGTGTTTTCAAACTTCTGTCTTACATCGGCTCGGCTGAAATTCATTAAAAAATTTATATATCAAAATCTTATTCTTAATTAAAAGGTTATCATAAAGGCACTGCCTTACTTGTTACTTGTTACTCCAAAATATTTCTATGGCCCTAGCCTTGGTGTCACTGATGGCAATCTCTTGCAGTTGGTAATGACATCTTGGAATATGTCCTACTCGCCCATTCAACAACCTGATCATCTGATTATGCTTTAGATAAGTTTGATCAATTATTCCATAATTCATTTATTCCATTCCAAAATCTTCACTTAAAATATTATTCGAATGCTTTCATAAGAATCTTATACGGGTTGATTTTACATTTTGTGGAGAATGCGTTAGTGTTCTTCTTTATAAGGATGTTTTTACACCACCTACTCGCTTATGCGAAAAAACAAGCGAAAACCAATTAATGTTCAATGTTTCGATGCTACTCTGATAAACTGCAAATCTTCGACGTATATACGATTTAATGGCCATCACCGTGGAGGGGTATATTCCTTTTGTCGCAACGTTTGCAGCGCCCAGATGAAATCTTCAAAGTACCCACAAAGTACATATATTCTTGATTAGCATCAAATTCTGAATCGATATAAACATGTCCCTCTGTCCGTCTTCCAAGCGCACCCCTGGCCGCAAAAAAAAGCTATCGATTTCAAATTTAGCAGAAACATAGGAAATTCTTCGTACGCTCGCTCAATAGCATAGGATATGAGAATTTAGTTCTTTTCCTTTTTTTGGGATCATGGTGATTGGTATAAAAGATTCGGTCATGACCGAAAATCATTTTCTTACTCATTTAATCTCAACTTTTGATTTTCATTCAATATATTGCCATTTAGTGAATTAATTCCAAGCCCACTCTATTTACAAGTTAGTGTGAGCTGCTTATAGTGTCTTAATTCTCATTTCATACGATTCCGATTTCAGTATTATTTTTGTCTCTGTCAAAGTAAATCTGAGTTTTTTGAATGCATCTTATACCAGAAGTTCTTCTAATGTTGCTTCGACTTTCAAACTCATTGCACACTATTCCACAATCTAAACTCGCAGCTTACATCGAAACTTATCGTTCTCTTCTCCCAACGAATCGCTCTCATTTTCAGTTTGTCTCTGTAACGTATGTGATATTTAAGCTTTGCAAGGTTGTAAGTATTTTTATTTACATCATGAACTTATCGTACGTTTTCCGGCCTGGCTCGTCGGATGGAATGGATAAAAAAAAATGTAATTTGTGTTTTTTGCATTTTCTGCTTTTGAATTATAACTTGTTTATTGTTAGGGTCGAAATTCGTTATGTAGATTCGTAACATAGTTTTTTAGCAAGAAGATTCTGTTATTTTTCCTTTTTTTTTCTTTTGAAAAAATTTACCAATGATAGTTCTCTTTAAAAATGTAACGAACAACCAAATTTCAGAATCTCCAAAAACTGACAAATCAAAACTGAGTTTATAATCACTTCAAGTGAGCGCATAGCTGTTCGTTCGAAAAACACAATACCTCAGCTGCCAAATTTTCTTTCTCTATCCCTCAAGAAAACTAAAATTTTCTTTT